CTGCAGCATGGTTGGCTCGGCCAAAGTGAGCCCGGACACCCCCCTCATCGGCGGGGACCTGGCAGGCACTGTGCACAAAGGGGACCTGCGATGGTCATGTGGCCGCCTCCTGTCGGCCACGCAGGCTGGAAGCGGAGGAGGTGCTTGGAGGAAGGAGGGAAGCAGGCCAAGTGGCCTAGGGAGGCAGCCGTGGCTGCCCTGCCCGCCCTTGCTGGGCTCCAGAGACGCCCTGCATCTGGCTTCCGGTCCTTGGACCAGGAGTCACACCTGATCTGAGATCCAGGAGGGTACGCCTGGGCCAGGGGTTGTAGGCTGGGACTCACATTTTAAAATTTTTTTAATTTTTTGTAGTTATACATTCATTTTAAGATCATCACATAAGTGGAGCATAACAAAAAACAAGTCTCATTAATTTTAACTCACAAAGATAATCCTCTCAGCATGTAGTAGATTTCACGAACTTCCCATGGAGCTAGTTTACATTTTCTCTCTCTCACTATTATCTCCAAAACTGGATGCGTATTTTATACTCACAACACATCGTAATTGAGATAAATCCCACATCAGGTGCCCAGTAGCCACACATGGCTGGTGGCTACCATATTGGGCAGCTCAGGTATAGACAATTACTCACTTAGGATGAATCACGTCCTTCGTTGCAAATAGTATTTCAAACATAAGACATGGAGGACCTGAGTAATTTGTACTTGTACTTCTGCTGTGTCTTAATTTCTTAGTGATATGGACTTTTCAAGTCAGCCTGGGCTTCAAGAGTGTCAGCACGATGGGTTGGCCAGCCTAGCCCCAGGAGTGTTGGCCCTAATGCGCTGGCAAGCCAAGCACCGAGAGGGTTACTGATTCAGTGGGCTGGCCAGCCTTGCCCCAGGAGTGCCTCAGCTCTGGAGTCTCGCCTTCTGCTGGCTGAACTCAGGCAGCTCCCTAGGCTGGCAAGCTAGCCTCCCGGCTGCAGGGCTCTTCTGTTTCAGTGGTCTTCTGCAGCCCTTCAGGTCAGGTTCTTGTCTTGTGCCCAGGAGGAATGAGGGACACAGACAGCTGGAAAGTGAGAAAGCGGGATTTACTGAGAGGACAAAAAAGTTCCCAGAGTGGAGGGGAAGCCAAGGGGGTTGCCCTTAGTTTTTTGTTTGAGTTGGAGTCTCACTTTGTCGCCCAGGCTGGAGGGCAGTGGCACACTCACAACCAGCACAGCCTCGACCTGCTGGGCTCAGGTGATCCTTCTGCCTCAGCCTTCCAAATGCACTACAGGCACGTGCCACCACATCTGGCTAATTTTTTGATTTATTGTAGAGACGAGGTCTCACCAAGTTGTCCAGACTGGTCTCAAACCTGTGGGCTCAGGCAGTTCTCCCACCTTGGCCTCCCAAAGTGCTGAGATAATAGGTGTGAGCCATCATGCTCTGCCTGAATTTGCATTTTAGAAAGTCCCATTCTCTCTCAGCTATGGTGGGGTTGGACTGTTGAGAAGGCATGCTGGAGGCAGGGAGGCAGATTTGGAGGCTGTTGAGGGCACACACGAGAGGGACTGGACCCTGCGTGAGTCAGGACCTAGGACAGGGATTTATGAGTCCAGGGACCGAGGAAAGGTTGTCCTTTACTGTCCTAGTGCATTCCTGGACTCTCCTGGAGGATGGAGCCCATCAGCCACTCAACACACAGGGAAAGAAATGAGGCGGGGTGAGCACACTGCTAGCGGGGGTGGGGCTTCTTTTTGGGTGTTAAAAATATTCTGGAATGAGGTAGTAGTGATGGGTGCACAACCTTGTGGAGTCATGAAAAGCCACTGAATTGTACAATTTGAACAGGTGAATCGTATGGTACATGACTTCTCTCTTCATAAAGTTGGTTTTTTTTTTTTCTTTTTTTGAGGATCTCACTCTGTCATCCAAGATGGAGGTCAGTGGCACCATCATGGCTCACTACACCCTTGACCTCCTGGGCTCAGGTGATTCTTCTGCCTCAGCCTCCCAAGTAGCCGGGACTACAGGCATGTGCCATTACGCCTGACTAATTTTTTGTTTGTTTGTTTTGAGTCACACTCTGTTGCCCAGGCTGGAGTGCAGTGGCACGCTCACGACCACCGCACCCTTGACCTGCTGGGCTCCGGCGATCTTTCTGCCGCACGCTTCCACGTAGCCAGAACTACCGGCATGCGCTACCACACCCGGTTTATATTTTTTGATTTATTGTAGAGAAGAGGTTTCACCAAGTTGCCCAGGATGGTCTCGAACCCCTGAGCTCAGGCAATCCTCTCACCTTGGCCTCCCAAAATACTGGGATTATAGGCTTGAGCCACCGCGCCTGGCCAATTTTTTGATTTTTTTCTGTAGAGATGAGGACTTGCTATATTGCCCAGGCTGGTCTTGAACTCCTGGGCTCAAGCAAGCCTCCTGTCTCAGCCTCCCAAAGTGCTGGGATTACTTGCTTGAGCAACCACACCCAGCCAAAGCTGTTATGAAAAAAAGAACAGATGGACATAGTGGCTGACACCTATAATCCCAGCACTTTGGAAGGCAGAGGTGAGAGGATTGCCTGAGTCCGGGGGTTCGAGACCAGCCTGGGCAACTTGGTAAGACCTCGTCACTACGATAAAGAAAAAAATTTAGCTGGGCATGGTGGCATACACCTGTGGTTCCAGTTACCTGGAAAGTTGACGTGGAAGAATTGCCCGAGCCCAGCAGGTCAAAGCTGCGGTGGCCATGAGCATGCCACTGCACTCCAGCCTGGGCAACAGCGTGAGACTCTGACTCAAAAACAATAACAACAACAATAAAAAACTAACCAAACAAACAAATGAACCAGACAGTTGGCAGGCACTGGAGACTGATGGGGCTTAGGGATGGGCAGGGCAGCAAGGATGACTAGAGGCCTCTACTCATGTGACGATGCCTTCAGACAGGAGACCAGAGGGACAACCCCTTTGCCACCAGGGCTGCAGGTGCCCAGAGGAGATTCTGGTGCAGAGCATGGGAGGCAGCTGGACACCTAGGTCTCATGCAGAAGGGAGGGCCAGGCTGGGACTGAGTGACAAACTGGAGCCAGCCACTGCCCCCCATTTTTAAAACTCGAGTTCCTTGTTGATCCTTTTGCTACTCCTTGGGAATTTTTTCTTTTTTTTTTTTTTTGAGTTGGAGTCTCACTCTCACCCAGACTGGAGTGCGATGGCTGCTCCTGGCCACCGCAGTCTCGACCTGCTGGGCTCCAGCGATCCTTCTGCCTCAGCCTTCCGAGTAGCTGGAACTACAGGCACGCGCTACCATGCCCGGCTAATTTTTGATTTATTGTAGAGATGAGGTCTCGCCAAGTTGGCCATGCGGGTCTCGAACCCACGGGCTCAGGCAATCCACTCATTTTATTTTCAATTTCATGATATATTCTACCCTGTCATGCCAAGGGCCACAGAGACACACACCAGTGCCACATGGTGCAGATGTCATGAAATAGGGGTGTGCTGGGGAGCCATCAACAGGGCGAGGGGGAAGCAGCTCACCCCACTGAACTGCTGCCATAGCCGAGGGACCTGCCTGTGCGCTTTGCTGTGGCAGGAATGGGGAGGGGGACATCTGGTGGCTCTGGGACTGGAGGAAACGGGCTTACGAGGGAAGCCACCCAAGGCCGTGGCAGCACCCCAGTTCATGTACACTGGAGGGCCTCAGTCCCAGCAATGTGGATCTCTGCCCATCCTCCAAGGTCAAAGCAGGTATGGAGGAGAGGAGAGTGGACCAGCCCTTGCGAGTGTCTAGAAAGGGCGGGGAAGCCTGTGTCCTTCCTCCGCTCTCTTCACACCTGACACCAATTTCTGGGTGCCTCAAGCCCAGCCAACGTGATGGAGGTGTGGCTACACGTGACAAGAAGATGCTGGCCCGAGGAGGTCCCAGCGCAGAGGCAAAGAGCTGGCAGATGGCACAGGCTTTGCAGGTAGCAGCAGCAGCTATGACCGTGGCTGCCATGACCTGTGGTGGCTGTCCCCTATGGCATTTCTCAGGCATCTGGGGCCTGTGTGGCGTGTCCTCTTCCGCAGTGGTACAGACTGGACCATCCTCTTGAGTCCAGTGCTTTCTCTAGTGTGTACATCCCCCACTGCACACCCCAGCAAGCAGGTGGGGGCGGGGGCTGGGAGCTGTGCCTTAGGCCACGGCCAGGAGTCCAGCCGGAGTGCTTCCCAGCCAACAGCAAGCACTGCCCAAAACATGGCCATGGTGTCGTGTCCCCTGCTGAGGCCCAGTCTACACACAGCTGCAGCACTGCCTGGGAGGGCCTGCATGGTGGCAAGTCTGGGAGGTGGGCATTCCAAGGAGTGGCCAGGGCTGATGAAAGGGGACAGTGAGACAACCTTCTTTCATGTCTCCTCTCAGTGTGGGAGCTTTTCTGTCTTCTTAATAAATACGACTTTTTTTAAAAAAGGGGTCAAGCTGGGCTTGGTGGCTCAGCCTGTAATCCCAGCGCTTTGGGAGACTGAGGTGAGTAGATTGCCTGAGCCCACGGGTTCGAGACCCGCCTGGGCA